CTGGCACGAGAAGTATTAATATGGAAGGAACTGTGGCATCCAAATGTATTACCTCTTCTCGGCATCGACTTGACGACTCGAAAGCCATCCTGCTGTTTAGTCTCCCCGTGGATGAAGAATGGGAATGTGACGGCCTTTTTGGAGAGGTATCCCGATTTCAATAAGAGCTCTTTGGTAAATTATTGCTCATTTCTCCCTTGTGTATGGTGCTAAGACATTATTTTGCAGGTAAGGGATATTGCCAATGGTCTAGAGTATTTGCATGATCTGGACCCGCCAGTTGTTCATGGAGATATCAAAGGGGTGAGTAGAATGAAAATTGTGATATCCCGCTTATAGTTACTTACCGAGACACCAGGCCAATATTTTAATCAACGATGGTGGCCAAGCTTGTTTAGCTGATTTTGGTCTTGCACTGGCAATCGAGAGTCAAGCACTTAGCACATCATCAGCGGGTGGCACCCGTGGCACCCTCCGCTGGTTGGCACCTGAAATTCTTGACAGCTCAAGAAAAGCTGAACGCCAGGCTTCACTAACAAAGCGGGATATATATGCATTGGGCTGTACCATTTTGGAGGTATGTCTCTGCTTCAAAATACGGAGCTGTTCACGAAGCCACAAGTACAGATTTATACTGGAGGTCCCCCATTCCCTAATTTGCAAGACGTAGAGGTTATCCATCACGTTGTGACCAAACATGAGCGCCCAGAGATCCCATCAAACGCGGTCGCACAGTTGAAGGATCTTTATCCGCTCCTGAAACGTTGCTGGCACAACAAACCCCGAGAGCGTCCAAATACCACCGAGATCAGCAATATTTTGCAGTTGGAACCCTCGGAATGGAAGAAGGCAGCTGCCGGTTTGACATTACCATTCTGGATGTTTAGAAGACCCTCTGCACAATTGGGGCGGTCCCCTCGTATATCGCCGATGTCACCCATAACGACACAATTCACAAGCGAGAGTGAGAGCACACAGGTGCCAGTCAAGATCCTGCTTCTCGGTTCGGGTCAATCTGGAAAGGTGTGGATGCTGCTCTCTAAGTGATATACTCATAGCTTTCTTGCTTAGTCAACAATATTGAAACAATTTGGAATTTCAGACGCACACGACGAGTTCAAATGCGGAATATTTTCCAATACGGTAGACGCCATGCGGTAAACATCAAATATAGCATTTCGTAACTTAATCGTATTTACACTATCGCAGGACAATCCTAGAAATGATGCCACAACTTGATATCACTGCAGATCCCCGGAACGAGGAATATTGTGCTATCATATACGACATTCCAGCAACAGTAGAAATCGACTGTTTTCCTCGCGAAATCTCTCATGCGATCAAAATGCTGTCTCAAGATCCAGGCGTGTGGGAGGCTATTTCTCGCTTTTCCGAATTCCAGCTATTGGATTCTGCAGAATACTTCTTCGATTCCATCGAGAGGCTGGCAGCAGAAAATTATATTCCAACAATGGAAGATATCCTTCACCTGCGTGTCAAGACGACCGGTGTATATCGGAAGGAGTTAGAATTTGATGGACAGGCTTTGATAATTTGTGACACTAGCGGCGAGCGCTGCGAGAGAAAGAAATGGGTGCATTGCTTCCCAGGCACCGCTGCGGTATTTTTCCTCGTTGCACTGAATGATTATCAAAAAGTTCTGGAAGAAGATGAAAGTATGGTAAGTTTTCAAACTTTCATACTCTCTTCAAGCAATGCTAACTCTGTTCTTCAAGAATCGAATGAACGACAACTTTGAACTGTGGTCCACCGTAATAAACACAGAGCAGCTCAAAAGTGCTAAATTTGTGAGCCCGCCCATTGATCAGTTTGCGAATATCATTTGGAGCTCTGCTTCTGACTCCTAGATTCTTTTATTCAACAAATTGGATCTTTTCATCCGCGATTTCCGGGTCGAAATTTTCTCGGCATTCTTTCCGGACTACATCTCCTGGAAGACGTCAACAGAGCTTTTCACAGAGCTTTTCACAGACGGCAATGAAGCTCTCAAAGCACTCGCATTTTTGCGGCTGAAATTTCTGAGCAAAGTCGATAGCGAACGGGAGGTACACACATATGAGGTGTCAGCGACCGACACTGATCAATTTCGAGGTAAGCACTTGCCTGGCTATCGGGCTACTATTTACACAGTGCAACAAATTTTCTAGATGTTTGGGATGCAGTCAAGAAAATTATACTCTGAAAGCTCATTCCACATATCAACAGCTCTCTCTCCATACGATATATATGTTGCCGTGTTTGTCTGCTTACAGCTAATGCTGAAACCAAAAGCACAATGAAAATTCTTGTTTTAGGATGTTTCCAGAGAATTGTACATGTCGAACTCTGTATCACGAAACCTTTTCGTACTTCTTCCCGAGGGAGCACTCAAACGTTGCCCGAGTTTGAAGCCAACTCCAGCATCAAATTCAGTAAAGTCAGATAAACTTGAACATGAAGGGTTGATTAATTCCATGCAAAGCTTGCTAAATCGAATCGAAGTGGTATGGATACTGGGAATACAAGGGGGAATGCGGATGTAGCCTGAGTGTACCGATAAAATATCTTTTATGAGCCGATAAACTTCAACGTCACAATCTGCAAGGATGTTGACCCTTTATTGTGCGAAGGCAACGGTTGTATAGCGCGGACGTGGTGCATGGTGCACGACTGCCCTGAATATCCCAGAATTCTGGAGGTCTAGGTAAAGCAGTTGATGGGGTTCGACTCCCTGGGTCCGCATTCGCAGCATCTCCCAGTTTTGTTTTTTACGCCCGTGTCTTCGTAATTCAGCAGATAAGCACATCACAATGCATGGGTCGCACTGGAAAAAGGGCCACCGCTGGTTGAATGTTGACCGACCTGTTCAACTCCAATTTAAACCAAGGTGCACTTGAACTCAATCCAAGCACCCCGTTGATTGAAGGCCGAAGGGGGAACAGTTCATGTATTCAGCAATGAGAGGAGCAAGCGTACGTGGTGCATAGTACCTGCCCTCAAAAGTGAGTCGGCTTGCTAAATTCGAAGTAGTGGGGGTTCAACTCCCGGCGTCCACATGGGATTCGATTTTGATTGTATTTTTCTCCGCCGCGGCGGTTCAACAATTTTGGCCCTGTTTATACCCAGCCAACACCACAAACTCAACCACCTGCGCAACAATATTAACAGAACCTTTTTTCTTTTGTGATCTCCGGCAGATTTTCCTAGTCGGCACAAAGTTCCAAGTCCAAGTGACACTAGGGGCAAAGACCCAGGCAGATGAAGCCATGTGCGATAAACGCACATTCAATGCAGATGAACTGGAGATATCAAAAGACTATACAAAGGATAGGTCACGGTTCAACAATTGCTCTTTCTTAGACAAAGGCTGGACAAAGGCCAGACAAAGGGCAGGGGAGGTTTCCCAGGTGCAGGGAATCCTGCCCAGAGCTGGTTCTGCCCTTTGTTTAGCCTTTGTCTTGCCTTTGTGCAGTAAAGAATCATTGTTAAATTGTCACATTACCCTTTGATATCTCCGGTCCATCTGCGACGGACGTGCGTTTATCGCACATGATCTAATGTGCCTGGGTCTTTGCCCCTAGTGTGAGTGTCTTCGAACCCATCCATTCCGGCCTGCCGTACACAAAGAGCCGTACACTGCTTAAATGTTGAACAATTCAACCCCAACTTGAAGTGGAACAAAGCACTTTATTTAAACCCGTGCCTGAAATGGGTAGGTTAACGACCCTAAGTATGAGAGGAGGGAAGCGGATGTTGTGCACGGTGCCCAATTGCTCTCAGTGTTCGGCGAAAAGCCTACTTTGACGCAGTCAAACGGGGTTCGACTCCTCCCATCCACGTACCGGCGTGAAATGGGGGGTTTTTTTTTTGAAGCAACCTCCTGCTTCCTCACTTGAAGACGAATATGCTTTTTTTCTGTTGGGGCTTCCTCAAGGAGAAGGGGGTCTGATCTTGAGACCCCACCTAATATTCGGGCACCAACTCCCAACTTGAAAGAAGCCCCGGATTTTCAACACGGTGAGTCCAAAAATGCAGAGCACTTACTGCGCCAAGGAAAACAGTATAGAACGCGGACGTAGTGCATGGTGGTGCACCGCTGCTACGACTATTGCCTTCGGCCATTCGGGCACAGAGGCATAATTCATCCCAGTTTAACCATTTGGCAAATCCTTTTTGGCAAGTCCTTTTGACTATTTTGTGTGAACCAATCAAAGAGGAACTGAATTGAATGCAGTTAGAAGAATCTTGAGATTGCCCTGTAGACTCATTACCAGTCTGCACTACGGCAAAGGAAAATGATGAGGCTATTTGCCGTAGGCAGACTGGTACAACTCGGGCCACGCCAAAGGGCTGCGCCCGGAGTTTGAATTTTTGGCGGGAGCCGAGGCTGCCGATCGGGTGGCTGTGCTCAGCCATCGATTCCCCGCGAAAATCAACTTTTTCACAGCTCAGCCCCTGGGCCATAAAATATTATTCTGAAGAGACAGAATTCAAGTTCAAAGGTTCTAAATTGCCGATTTTCAAAAAAGTTCTGATGGACCCCGAGATTTGAGCAAAATCCAGCTTCGGGGAAATCTTTTCAAACTCCGGGCACAGCTCTTTGATCCAGTCCGAGTTGTACCAGTCTGCCTACGGCAAACAACCTCACCCCTTCTTTTGCCGTAGTGCAGACTGGTTACGAGTCTAATTGCCCTGAGGAAAGGGGTGTGGAACGGGGACGTAGTGCGTGGTGCATGACTGCCCACCATAATTTGTTCCAAATCATGATCAATGCAAAGCAGTTGATTGCGGTTCGATTCCCCACATCCGCATGGCCAGTGTCCCTCGTTATTTTGTAAGGTGACGGCTAACAGTGTTGAGCGCGGTTCAAAATGCACCAGTTAGAATTTCTTACACTGCCAACCAATATGGAAACCCTGCACTTCTGTTCAACTTTCAATTCGGGGAATGTGTGTTACGCGCATCCGTCAAAAAGTTGGGGTACCATGAGAGGCAGGAACACGGACGTGGTGCACGGGACACGATTGCTCTCATTAATTCAGCTGGTGGCAAGCATTTGAAGCAGTTTGACGGGGTTCGACTCCCCGCGTCCGTATACGAGTATGGCGGCCGTTTTGGCAGCCTTTTTTTTTTTGTACCTCTCCTGGCCCCTCGGAAAGTGTACAGTAGTCTCTTACAACACAGCAAACGGCATCCATTTTGTTGAACAAATTCAAGCGAATCAAATCAGAAATAGTAATCAAAGGTACATGTGAGTTGAAAATAAAGTTGAGCACTTAGTACTTAGTGACCCTCCTTCTCGGGAGAATATAGTCTCTTGCAGACCCCAACGTGGAAAACTTAAATTATGCATCAGTTTTGTTGTATGCATCAGTTTTGTTGAACCAACTCAAAGGAGTCAAAAAAGAAAACATAGATTCAGAAATGCGGGTGAGTGGAAAAGAATGCTGAGCACTTGCTGCACCGAGAAGCGGGTGAAAAATGCGGATGTTGTGCGTGGTGCACATTTGCCCTCAGTATTTTGACCGCGCTGCGCTAGCAACTTTGAAGCAGTTGAATGGCGTTCGAGTCCCTGCGTCCGCATGTAGGGGTCGAAGTTTTCGGCGATTTTTTCTATGTTGCGCCTGTCCAACCATTTGAGTACCCATAGGTTAGATTTCGGTTGCAGACTCCGCCAACTCACAACGTTAACTTGAAAAAGATGGAGGGTAATTACCACACCGAGAATTGGGTGAAGAATGCAGATGTGGTGCGCGGTGCACGATTGCCTTCAGTACCTCATTTTCCAACCACCTTTTAAGCAATTGATTGGGGTTCAACTCCCCGCGTCTCGATATGGTTACCCCTACTGATTTTTTCCCTTGGACTATATTTCTCTCTTTCTTGTGCCCCATACACCCAGCCGACACCGAAAACTCAACTCCTAACGCGACAATATTCCGCGCTTTGACCAACCGTGCGACCCATCACCCGCTTCCGCTATCCCCACTCGGCACTACGTTATCTGATCCCCTCCTCGACCACCACCAACCCGACTCAACTCAACGATGCCCGCCCCGCCCGAATTCCTCTCGTGGGTCGACGCCTCTAAAGACGCGTTCATCGCGCGCCTGTCCCACGCCGTCTCCATCCCCTCCATCTCCGGCGATCCCGCCTACCGTCCCCGCGTGCAAGAGATGTCCGACTGGCTCAACTCAGAGCTCAAGAAAGTCGGCGTCGAGACCAAACAGGTGGATTTAGGGAACCACGTTATGGATGGACAGACCCTCCCGCTCCCGAACGCCATCCTCGGGAAGATAGGAAACGACAAGAACAAGAAGACCGTGTTGATCTACGGGCACTTTGACGTCCAGCCCGCAGCGCTGTCGGACGGGTGGGCGTCCGAGCCGTTTGTGCTCACCACCCTCCCCGATGGGCGTCTCGTGGGTCGGGGAAGCAGCGACGACAAGGGCCCGGTTCTGGGATGGCTCGCGGTGTTGCAGTGGCATCACGAGACGCAGACGCCGTTGCCGGTAAACTTGAGGTTTTGCTTTGAGGGGATGGAGGAGAATGGGAGCGAGGGGCTGGATGAGCTGGTGGAGAGCGAGAGGGAGGGCTGGTTTGGCGGTGTCGATTGTATGTGCATTGTGAGTCGCGTTTTCTTCCTCGTGTATTGCTTTTATTGGTTGGCTAATGGGGAGTGTAGAGCGACAACTACTGGCTCAACACGCGCACGCCCGCGCTCACTTACGGCTTGCGTGGACTCGTGTACTTCAAGATTAACGTGTCGGGCCCCGGAAGGGACTTACATTCGGGTGCATACTCGTTCTTATTTTCCTCGCGTTATTTATTCTGGCGCGTTGTTCGCGTTGTACCAACACGCGCTTACCGCCTTTATTCCGGGGGTTCCCTGCGTACCCGCCCTCTCGCTGGTCGCGCGGCACAACGTGTACATTATCGCGGTATCGGCGCGTAATCGGCATATTTACCTTCGCGCGTTATCGGTGGCTATCCGCGGCGCATACGCAGTTCACCGCGAGTCAGCGATTGCGCACGAGCGCCTCGACCCTGGCTTGCGTAGATGCGCTCGGCGTCTCCACGTCCCGGACCTCCGCGCGGGAAACTTTCGCCTGAATTCCAGCACGCGCGCCTCTTTTGCCCGTGCAGATAATATGGTCCGTGCGGGACCCGTACCCCCGTAGCGGCGAGATGGGACGCGCTCCCCGCCTTTTTTTTCTCTTGGGCTTCGTCTTCGGTCTTGTTTTTGGTGTTCGCCTGTCCGGGCTTCAAGAGGCGTGCTGCTTTTATTGTGTGCGCCGTACACGTACGCGCGCGGGACCCGTATCCAGCCCGGGAGCGGGGAGTGCGGTGGGACGCGCTCTCCGCCTTTTCCTTCCTTTCTTGGGCTACGTCTTCTTTCGGTGTCCGCCTGTCCAACCGTTGACATTGGCATTGGCGCGGTCGCGGGGTATGGATGTGTCGGGGACCAGGACTCGTGCGGCGGTCTCTGCACGTCGTCGACTCGCATCGCGCATCTACCTTCGCGCGTTATCGGCGCATCTACCCACCGCGTCCGACGTACTTCCCCTCCACCCGTGGCGTATGGGCGCCGTGCGCTCTGCGTCTCCACATCCACGCCGTCCGCGCGCGCGAATTCCTGGGACCAAGTTGGGGCTCTCAGCATGCGCGCTGCTTTTATTGTACCCGTACGCGCGCGGGACCCGTATCCATCCCGGGAGCGGGGAGTGCGGTGGGATGCGCTCTCCGCCTTTTCCTTTCTTCCTTTTCGGCGTGTCCGGGCGTTGGGGTGCCCGCGCTGGATGTGTCGGGCCCAAGGGTTCGCGCGGTGGTGTCGGCGCGAGTTCGGCGCGATCCTGATCGTGCTGGTGCAAATGCCATCTGCGTCGCATCGTCGGCGTCGACCGTGGGCGGCGTGGGCTCGAGCTCACCGTACTGTGTTTTACATGCACGAGTTTTTCCCTCTCTTCCTCGCGCTAGTTTATTCCCTGCTTCTACCTTTCTTCTACCTTCTGCCGGAGATTCTCTGCGTCCACCCTATCTATCTACTTTGGCGCGGTCTCAGCGCATGAGCTGGCTTCGCGCGATATCGGCGCGTTATTGACGCGCTATCCGCGTGGTATGGACGGCGACTCCGCCGAAGGCGATTGGCCCGTATTCATGTGCGGCTGGGAGTGGGGACCCGTTTTTTGACTCGGGATTCAGCGTTCGTGCGCGGGGTGCGGGTGCGGGTGCGGCCCGTGATGGAGGCGTTCGTCTCGTCGGTCGCGCTCCTCCTGAGCATTGACTGTACGATCGCGGGTGCGCGTGGGTCGTTTGCGCCTTGGCGGAGCTTTCTCTGCCTCGCTTTTCTTCCCTTATTTCGTTTCGTTTCCTTCCCCTCCTCCCACTCCCTCTCCCCCCTCCCTCGTACTGATATACTTGATTCCCAGGCGTATTCGGCCGCACAGTGCACGAGCCCATGACCGACCTCATCTCTTTGCTGAGTCGGCTCGTCGACGCGCAGGGACGGATCTTGGTGCCGGGGGTGGACGATATGGTGTCGGCGGCGGGGGTGGAGGAGCGGTCAGTTTTTTTTGTTTTCTTTCTTTTTTATTGTCCTTTGGCCGCACAAGGACGTGAACACGTTCGTTGGGGTTTCGGCTTGCGTGCGGTGGATGGGGATGATGTCCGTCCGGTCCCAGAGATGCTAACGCGTGTCCGCGCGCGCATTCCCTGGGTCGATCGTGCGCAGTCTGGTCGAGTGGCATCGGTGCGTGCGTCCGGGGAGCCTCCCGCACGTTGTTTCGGTTTGCCGCGCACGCGAGTCGGTGTAGAGGTCTGTCGGTGCACAGGCGCTGGTGCATCACTACATGGGCTGGGCTGGCCTTTGGCCTTTGGTCGGTTTTGTGCACCGCCGTGCGCGTGCACGTGCGCGGTTTCAGCGCGGACGCGCTACTTCTGCGGTCGTAGCGCGTGGTCCATGTTCGGATTCCTTCTCCTTCTTGGGAACGAGGGAGGGCGGGTGGCAGGAGAGGACGCCGTGGAACTGCAGCGTGTGCGACAGCTGCTCTAGACGCCGCGGGGGTTTGCGCCCTCGGTGTCGGTGCGATTGGCGCTCAATGCGCGTGTGCATTGGGCGCCGTGGAAGCTTGCGCGCCCGGTGCAATCGAGTATCAGCGTCGCGGGCACGGCTGTTCCAATGGGATGGACCGAAGGAAGCATCTTGGGCGTCGATGTCGGCGTCGTGTGCGTCTCGGCGTCGCTGTAAGTGTTGGGTGTCGCTGGCCTTTTCGTTGTGCGTCGTCCCCGAAGGACATGTACTTGCTCCTTCGTGCCGCCTCGATCCTTTGTACCGCCCGAGACATGTACTCGGGCGAGGACGTTCTTGCGCTCGTCCTCCTCGGGAGTCGTTTCCCTCGCGCTCGTACTTCTACTTGCATTCTGCTTCTTTCTCCCCCTTCCTCCCCCACAATATTCATCATTTCTCTTATTAGGGAGATTTACGAGAAGCTCGACTACAGCATCGCCGACGTCGAGGGCGCCGCGGGGGGGCAAGATCGCGTTGTCGGAGGATAAGGTGCGCTTCCTTGCTGTTCTTCCCCGCCTTTTGCATTTTTTTTCCTACGCGTTCCTATTACTTTTTCTTTTTCTTCGCCTTCCTATTTTTTTTTTTGGGGGGGGGGGGGGATCTTTTACATTGCGTTCTTTTTTCACGGGCGACAGCGCGCGATGGGTGGCCGCGGGTGCAATACGGAGGTGGAGGTGCGGGGTGGTGGAAGCGGGGGAGGTGGAGGTGAGGTGCCGGTCGTACCGCGCGCCGCTGTGAAGGTGGAGCGGGGCGAGGGAAGGAGACCAGCTCGCTGGGGCGCGTGGTGGAGGTGGAGGCGGAGCTCCACGAGGCGCTCGTGCTCGCACAAATGACGCCTGAGGTGTGCTCGCTCGTCGAGACCATGGGCGGCGAGCGGCGGGCGGTGGTGGAGGTGCTCGTTCTCCTTCCCTGTCTTCCTGCTCGCGTCGAGGGCGCCGTGCGGGCGACGTACGTGTTATCGCAGTGGAGCAATTGGACGACGAGCTGTGCGAGTGGACCGGGAACAGGGAGCGGGAGGGGCGGGATGC